CGGGCGAGACGCGAGCACGACAGCGCGACTCATGAGGGGTACAGTCCCCAGCATGAGGGGTCAACGCATGAGAGGTGCAATCCCCAGCGTGAAGGGTCAACGCACGAGGCAAGGGGGACCAACTCCCCAGCATGAGGGGTCACCTTTATGTGCCCCTTTGGCGTGGCTGGGCAATGGCATTTGCCCCAGCCCGCGCTCGGACTCCACCCTCCTCTAACCCCCTTCTGGCGTGGCTGGGGAATGGAATTCGCCCCAGCCACGCTCGGATATAGGGTATACAGTTGTCTACGCATGTTGCTGCGTATCACACACAAAGTTGCTATCCCACCCAGTGGGATTGTTGATGCCGTAGCTGCTGTCCCACTCAGTGGGAGTGTTAGTCTAGCATGTGCTGTCTACCGCTGCCTATTGCTACCCGGACCCCAAGGGTATTCCGTGACACCCAGAGCGGGCGGACAAATCATGCCCCCCCCTCGGGATCACGAGGCACCAAACTTGGATGGTAAGAAACTGGGGAGATTGTATCCCTCTCTTCCTACGGCTTTTACCCCAAGGGTATCCCGTGACACCCAGAGCGGGCGGACAAATCATGCCCTCCCTCGGGATCACGAGACCCCGGTTCTGGATGATACGAAACTGGGAAACATGTATCCCTCTTATCCTACGGCTTCTACTACTACTCGGACCCCGGGCGATATCGGCAAGAAAGCAGTGACGAGAGAGGGTGGAAGAGAATGCTCGAGATTCCGGTGCAAAGCTATCGTGTCGATTCGACTCACTGCGTGCGCGTGCGAAACAAGGATGCCGCCACGCACTCCTCACAGCCACACATGAGTTCACGGCACTCAAGCGGTCAAACTCGAGACAGCCACTTTGGCTCAAAATTGTGTCCGCCACCAAAGCGACCCTAAGAATCCAAACTACCTCAACTACTTGCCTGCAGAGGCTCCTTAGAAACGAATCCTCAAAATTGTGGCCGCCACCAGAGCGATCCTAATAATCCAAACTACCTCAACTACTTGCCTGCCGAGGCTACCTTCAAACGAATCCTCTCGACCAGAGCAGCGGAGGAGGAGAAGGAGGAGGAGGAGGGAGGAAGAAAGGAAGGCGAGAAGGGAGAGTGGGCAGCGTGGTTGCCAAGAGCGGTTGCCAAGCACATCGGCTGATTGAAACCCTGGCCCATGCCAGAAGTAACATGTGTGGCCTCATAGCCACACATGTGCAGAGTCGTTCCACATCTACAGAAAGTCGTTTACAGGGACCAGCTCTTCCAGTACTTGAGCGCCCCTCTCTCTGGTGTGACGGGTGCTGACCATCTCGAATTATGTTTAAATTCTCTCACGTGTGAGCGCTGGCCTGGCGTGTGAGGCAACGCTTGCTGAGGTTGCCAATGCGTACTCCCTCCGAGATGCATCCGCACCCCATGCAGACGAAGAAAATGCCGTCCGGGGTAGAAGTGACGAACAGCGCGCGCCCCCGCCTTTCACGCACCAGTTCGCTGAGCACTGCATTGTGCCCTGCGCAGGGGAAAGCTAGAAAGGGCGGGTCTCGGCGAGTTCTCCCAAGGCACTTCTGGCGCGCCCATCTGTGTCTGATCCACTTGACTTGGTGCCCATTTGCTGGTGGGAGCAAAGGAGATAGCGGGCGTCTTCGGGTTTCCTCTGGAACTGCTGGACCAGAGGGTTGCGCGGGACTGTGGGAAATGACTGCTAGCGTCGCTGGCGTCCTATACGGACCTCGGAGAGCTTCCGATCTCTCCACCAGGCCTGCGCGCGTGTTCGGGCCGTTGCTCCCCCCACCACCCCGCGGCTCCGACGTCCTGCCCATGTGGCGGGGCGTTGGCGGTTCAGGCAACGCGTCCCGGGCCGCCGCGGCCCCAGTCGTAAAACGGTGGGCCCGCACAGCCGAGTTTAAAGTAGATCGCATTTTAAACGGCGCCAGACTCGGGTACAAAAACAGACACTTGGCAACGCATCGAAGGTACCGCTGTGAAGTGGATGCGTTTTCGCCGTGGGTTTCCCTTTCCGCGCAGGAGGGTTGCGCCAGGGACGCCGCGCCTAACTTGGCATAGCGGTCGGCGCGATCGTTCCCCGCCGCCAGAAACCATCTCTGGATTGCGGCTTCAGCTGATCCATATCTACATTCGCCGCCACTCTGCGGATGGCGAATTCGGCATCCCACGCTGGCGATGCACGTATGTTGATGCGCGTGCCCGCGTATATATATATATATATATATGATGTCGAGAGGCGATGGCTGGCCATGGGGCGTCGGACAGCTGGACAAGATCGAGAAAATCAGAGTGAAATGCCTGTTGCATCAGGACTATGCTCCATGACGGCTAGGGCTGTTATTGCTATGCTCTGCCGAAGGGGGGGCGTCTGCGGATAACGGCTTCCGACCGCACCCCACAAAGCGGAGAATGTGTCGCCCCCCGTTGTGAGCTTGACTACTGCCCACCCTGCAACGTGGAACTCTTCGGGCCCTTCCTTGAAGCACGATCCGTCTGTGAAAACCTCCCCCCGAAACGCCTCCTTGACACTCAGTGCGGGATCCGCGCACCAAAACTTAAAAGTTGTTGTGCCTGATGAGTGTTTGGGAGAAGGCCGCGGGAGGTCAGAGATTCCCCCTCTCACCCTTGAAAAACAAAGCTGCGTGATACTCCCAACTGATGCGGCGCAGGGACAGAACAGCGGCCGCTAGAGGACTCGCACCTCTTCCCATTTTCGCGGGAGGGGGGCCTTAATACCGGGGCGGACAATTCAAGCAAGCGTGGCATTTGGAAATGGTTGCCGTCGGACCGGTTTGTTCCAGTTCTCCATGCCAGCTTGGTCCATAGCAGCGCTGGCGCCGAGCCCTGTCGCCACGCGGGGTCATAGTGCAGGGCAAGCCAAAAGGGGCGTGAACGTACGTCCCCCCTGGAGCCTGCAATTGAAAGAAAGACGCTTTGGAGCTGGTGACGTTCCGCCTCATCAACTCCCGCGACTTCAACGCCGTACGTCCCGTACGCGTTAAGGCCGCTGACGAACAGTTTCCTCATATCAGTGCCTGCTCTGCGGAGAGCAGCGAGTCTTCTCTTCCGAGCCTGTAGATTGCGCAATCGCAACTTACGCACTGGGGGACTGAGCCGCCGGCAACGGAGGTTGCCCACTGAAAAATCTACCCCCATGTTTTTCCCCGACGGTGCAACTTGCCCAGCTTTGAAGCCCAGCGCTTTGGCCAGCTTCTTGCGAAGACCATCTGAGTTGGCTAAGAGTGATAATTTTTCTGCAGGCCGCTGTATCGATCGTGCTTCACATAGTGCTGGTAGGCCGGAGGAGGGAAGGAGACGACGATGACAACGACGACGACAACGACGACGACGACGACGACGAAGCCGACGCCGCCGACGACGACGACGACGACGACGACGACGGCGGCGGCGGCGGCGGCGGCGCCGGCGGCGACGGCGGCGTCGGATGCGGCGGCGGCGGCGGAGGCGGCAGCGGCGGAAGCGCCGACGTCGGGGAGGAAGAACTGCACGGGCAACTCACAAGCAAGCGCTGGGAGGTGCAGCGGCAGGCGGCTAGAGCGATGTGCATAACGATGGCTGCGCGCACGACGTCTGATAAGCTGATCCAGTCGAATCAGCGGGCCGGGGGCTAACTTGAACTTGCTACGCAGTGGTCCTTAGTCCCCGGCCCTTTTAGGCAATGGGTAGAGCGATGTGCATGACGATGGCTGCGCGCGCGGCGGTTGACAGGCTGATCCAGTCGAATTAGCGGGCCGGGGGCTAACTTGAACTTGCTACGCAGTGGTCCTTAGTCCCCGGCCCATCAAACAATGAGCATAAGGTGGCAACATATTGAATGGAAAGCTGATCCGGTCGAATCAGCGGGCAAGGGGCTGCCGCGAACTTGCTGCGCAGTGGTCCGTAGTCCCCGACCCTTAAGGCGAAGCGGCGGCAAGCAGAAAACATGATGCACATAAGGGCCACCCGCGTGGTGATTACAGCTCCGCGCGCGTGACACACGCTAAGGAGCAATAACACAGCAAAGCCCCGCCTCCGATCGCCTTGGCCTCGCCCGTGGCCCAGCCGCCGAGCTCGCGGAACTGTAGAAGGCCTCGGGGTAAGACGAAAGCAGGACGAGGACAAATTCGGGTGAGGATAGAGTGAAGGCCAGTCCACAGTGCGCCTTCCACAGGAAACCCAACTCGGAGACCCCAGGACGTCCACGGACTTTCGGTGTGGGGACGTCACGCTCCCCTCAGAAAAAGACATGGAAACCCAAGAAACACAGGGCACCCTGGTGGCAAGCAAGGTGTGTGTTGGCATGGGTTCCCACTGCAAGACGAAGCCAGGACGAGGACAAAGGCGGGTGAGGATAAATCGAAGATCTCTGAGATCCGGCGGCTCTGGAAGATGTCTCGGGCGCCGCGGCCTGCTCAGAGCTTTCCGGAACACTCTGAGAGCGTTCCGGAACGCTGTGGAACGGATTTATCCTCGTCCTAGCCCTGTCCGACACTGTTCCCTTCTGAACCCGTTCGGCGTCTGAGCCCGATCGGCCGCCGAATAGGCCTGATCTTGACTCAGTCTGGTGGCCGAGGCTCGAGAAATGTTTCGCAAAGATGGAGCCGGGGCTCTGGTCTTGATCTCTCACGGTGCTGCACTTTTTTGTCGACGTCGGAGCCGAATGTCCTCCTGAACGCCCAGACGATGTTGGGACTCGTGACCCGGCTGGGTCACAGCCGTGCCCCAGGGTTTTCTTCTGAGCCCGTTCTAGACGAGCGCGCTCCACTGCTCGCAAATGGCCTGGATCCGCCGTGGGGGCGTACTACCATAAACTTCACCGAAGCAGACATCAGTTATTCGTAATTTTCGGTCGGAGCCCTTTCTGGGCCTCGGGACCGTCAAAAACTACTTGGGATGAACACCGATGCCAAAGAAGGGTTCGAGACCTCTGGGGGTCGACGTTGGACAAACAATCACGGCGTCGGGGGGTCTGGAAACTGCCGCGTGCCTACGGCTGCGGCTCGCCGCTGGAGCTGCACACCGTGCTGACGGTGGCGACGGTGCTGACGGACCCGGCGGCGGGGCGCTTCCTCACGGACGGGTTGCCGGGCTCGCCGCCCCCGTTGTCCGGCAGGGCCTGCGGGGGGCGGGGCCCGCCCGACCCGGCAGCCGTGCGCGCCCGCTCCGCGGGGCGGCCCCTGCGGCTGCAACGGCAGGTGGGTAGGTCGGCCGGGCAGAGCTATTTAGCCCCCCCCCCTCCCCCCGCTCGCCTGCGTGCCTGCCAGCCTGCCTGCCTGCCCTCCCCGCCTCTCAACCTCAAGCTGGGGCGCATGGGGGCCCGATGCCGGGGCCTGGGAGGGTGTGCGTGCAGGCTTTTGCGTGTGTGAGGCAGGCCTGCGTTTGGCTGGCTGCTTGCCTGCCAGCCCCCTGCTTGCCTGCCCGCCTGCCTCCTCCCCTTTGGACTGCAGGCCCGGAGACAGAAGGCGCCCTCTCCAGCCTCGACGGGTCGTGCGGCCTCTTCCAGACCAGGCTGTCGCCTCCATGGGGCGTCCTGATCTCCCCCGCGACTTCCAAAACGGGGCCCCCTCACCAGGTCCGCGCCTGGAGACGAGTCCAGGTGTCGACGGGGCACCGAGGTGGGTGGGTCTCGAACTGCGGGGACACGTTGCCGCAGATTTCTCCCCTGGGGTGCCCCCTCTGGTCGTGTACCTCCTAGGGCAGCCGCCTCAGGACTCGAAGCGCGGGGGAAGGAAAGAGAGGGGTCAAAAGAGAGGTATAGGTCACGAGGGGGGTAGGTGCTGCATGAATTGAAACGTCAAGGTCAGATCGGTGATCTGGTCAAAAATATGAGGATGGAGGAGGAGGACAAAGAAGGGAAGCGGGAGGGGGAGCAAGGGGAACAAGGGAAATAGAGAGGTAAGATACACATGTACAATGTATACACTATATATACATATATATAGATGCGTGAGCACACACAAACACACACACAAACACACACACACAAACACACAAACAGACAAACACCCACACACACACATGCACACGCAAACGCACGCACACGCACACGCACACGCACACGCACACGCACACGCACACGCACACGCACACGCACACGCAAACGCACACGCACGCGCACGTACGCGCGCGCGCTCGCCCGCCCGCCCGCCCGTCCGCCCGCCCGCCCGCCCGTACGCAGGAACGAAGGCACGCAGGCACGCAAGCACGCAGGCACGCAAGCACGCACAAACCCAATATTCACACAAACTTTCACTCACACACGCACACAAACACACACACACGCACACACCGAAACGAGACAGACCCCCCACCCACACACACACACACACACACACACACGCACACGCACACGCACACGCACACGCACACGCACACACAAACAAACACACACACAAACACACACACAGACATTCACACAGACATTCACACAGACATTCACACACACACAGACACACACAAAAACACAAGCACAAGCACAAACACAAACACAAACACAAACACACACACACACACCGACATACACACATGCACACACACGCACACACATACACGCACACACACACACACACGCTCAACCACAGACACACACAGACTCAGACACAGACGCTCACACAGACACACACACTCACACACGCAAACTATATGCATATGTTTGTAGGCTTGGGGGGGGAGAGAGAGAGAGAGAGAGAGAGAGAGAGAGAGAGAGAGAGAGAGAGAGAGAATGAGAGAGAGAGAGAGAACGAGACAAAAAGAGAGGAAGAGAGAACGAGCGAGGGAGAAAGACAGGGCGAGAGAGCGAGAGAGAGAGAGAGATAGAGAACGACAGAGAGGGACAAGGGGACAAGGAGTGACGGAGAGAGACAGGGCGAGAGAGAGAGAGAGTGAGAGGGAAAACGATATGGAGAGAGACACTGCAAGAGATATGGGGAGAGAGAGAGAGAGAGGGAGAGAGAGAGAGAGAGAATGAGCGAGAGAGAGAGAGGTATGACGCGACAGACACGAGATGGACCGATATACATATACATATATATAGAGAGAGAGAAGGAAAGAGAGAGAGAAAGAGAGAGAGAGATAGAGAGAGGATGTGACGGAGAGAGAGAGAGAGAGAGGGAGACAGAGCGACAGAGAGGGAGAGAGAGAGAGCCACATAAAGACATGCACGCACACGTCTACCTGTGTACCTGTGTACATACATATACGATTACAGATCTAGCCATTCCCGCGCGCCAATGTACAGTTAGCTTTACCACCACAGCAGCATATCCATGTGGATGTATGTCTACACTGCATGGGTGGTCCTATATGTAGACACATACGTGGAGAGAGAGGGAGAGAGAGAAAGAGTGATAGACATGGGGCGAGAGAGAAAAAAGAGAGAGAGAGAGAGAGAGATGGCAACTTGGTCCCGTGAGCCGTCCCAGGGCGTCTTGAAGCTTGTGGGTGTTTCAGCTTTATATGGAGCCAGCGCGCCCATCAACCAACAAATACGTCATCACGCGAGGAAAACTAACCAACGTACCCTTGCTGAAAACACGATCTATTGGGCCGTCTTGTGCCTTCCCGTGGGGAATGTCGTGGGCCTACGCGGGGTTGCTCCGCAGTGGCTGGACGGCGAAGCTGCACCGAAAAGACAGGCTGAACTCGGCAAGCAGCCACCGAGATATTGAGTTATCCCGTGTGTGCTATCTACACGTGTGTATTTCAACACACACACACACGCATACATATAGATAGAGAGAGCGAGAGAGGGAGAGAGCAAAACATTATATCTAAGCAGATAAGGAATCGTATCTGTACACATGCAGACATGTAGGCATACATATACCAGAGTGAGAGGGGGCCGAACGGTCATTCATTGTCCCTGGGCGCGTGGTTCTAGTGGGGATCCGTGGTGGGGAATCTGTTTGTTGCATTGTTGTTACTGTTGTTGTTTGCTGCCGTCGTTCCCCCTGCGACCCACCCCGCGACCCACCCGCGACCAACCCCGCGACCCACACCGCGACCCAACCCGCGACCCACCCGCAACCCACACGCGACCCACCCCGTGACCCGGCCGTGACCCGCCCGCGACCCACCCGCGACCCACCCTGCGACCCACCCCGCCACCCCGCGACCCCACCGGCGACCAACCCCGCGACCCACCCCCACGACCCAGCCCGCGACCCACCCGAGAACCACCCGCGACCCACCCCGCGACCCACCCGCGACCCATCCGCGACCCATACGCGACCCACCCGCGGCCCACCCGCGACATGGCCCGCGACCCACCACCGACCCACCCGCGACCCACCCGCGACCCACCCCGCGATCCACCCACATTGCTTCATCGAAAAATCGGTGCTTGCGGCGGGTTCGATGCATTGTAAAACTGATGCGCCTGCGGCGGGCTTCGTCGCAGCCTCGCAGATTGACGACGTCCTCGCTGCCCCCTCACGCGTATCCACAACTGCGGGGTGCTACGTATACTGGTTGGTATGAATACATGTACACATAGATGTGATATTCCAGCTGTGCCTACATGTGTATACAAAAATGAAAGTGGGGATACATATGTTCACGCACACACATATATATACATATATATATATAAATATACAAGACTGCCTTGGCGCTGCGCGCCATGCACCTTGGGAGTTCCGCACGCAAGCGGAATGCGTGCGTGCGTACATGCGCGCGCATGCATGTGTACACGTGCACGCGCAGGCACGTTTGTATATATATATATGTGTGTGTATGTGTGTGTCTAGGTGTATACACTATACTTACATGTTCGTATGTGTATACAGCGTACATATGTACATATAAATTTATGTGTGTAATGTATGAACATGCATGTGCAACTCGTACGTGTTTTGTCGGTGCACGCCCATATGTGTATATATATATATATATATATATATATATATATTATCATACGCACCTCTCCGAGGGAGTAGAGCTCAGAGGCGATTAATGCGCACGCGTCCGCGATTTTTCAGGGCGTTTCGCTCGGGACATCCTCGAAATTCTGAAAATCGGTGGCACCCCTCACGCAAATCGTGACGTCAGGGTCCAAAAACCTTCAAAAAACACATGGTAATTTCAATAATTGTGACCCCGATTCTCAGGGAATGGCGGCTTCGCTTGAAAAATCCTTCCAAAATCGAGCCCCAGACCCCGCCTCGGAGCCTCCTGGGGGCCTCCTGGAACCTCCTGGGGCCTCCTGGGGTTTTCTAAACCTTCTGGCACCCCAGACCCCGCTCGGAGCCTCCTGGGGGTCTCCTGAAACCTCCTGGGGCCTCCTGGGGCCTCCTGCGGCCTCCTGGAGCCTCTTGGGGCCTCCTGAAGCCTCCTGGGGTCTCCTGGGGCCTCCTGAGGCCGCCTGGGGCCTCCTGGGGCCTCCTGGGGCTTCAGAACTACATGCACACAGAGACACAAATCACGCCCAACACATCACACGCTAGACAAACATAACACACACAACACCTACAACACACAAAAAACACGCACCACACAACTGGGGGGTCCTGGTACACACATCGCAAGGTGTGGCAACCCCACTTGCGCTCGAGTGCGACTTCGATGTTGCATTTCACTCCTGCTTCAAACGCCCCTTCGGTTTTTTGTATGAGCCTGGGCACACACGTGCCACTTGTATGTATATCTAACTATGGGTTCGCATACACATGCGTATCTCAAGCGGTAGTGGCCTGACCAGTTGCTCAGGGCATTCGCAACTGAAAGGTGCGAGGGCATCAGGCGAAAATTGCCAAATTACCATGGGACAATGCATCGCCGAGGTCAGTGGGCGAAGATGTCTCAAGCGAAAATGGCCTGAACACTTCCGCTCAAGACATACCGGAACTCAGAATTGCGAGGATGTCTCAAGCGAAACCGGCCTGAACACCTCAGCTCAGGACAGACCGGAACTCAGTGACGCGAGGATGTCTCAAGCGAAAGTGGGGGGGAATACCATGGGGCAGGGCATCTCGGAACCCAGAGCCGCGAGAACGCTTCTAGCGAAAATGGCCCGAGCACCTCAACTCAAGGAGCCCTGGAACGTAGAGTTGCGAGAAAGTCTCAAAGCGGAAGTGGCTGGACCACCTTGGGGCACGGCTTCTCCGAGGTCAGAGTTCG